GTCCAGTTGCTCCATCTTTTTACTTTTAATTTTTCATGTAGATAGTAACGTCCAGCCTGGGTCGGAGCGTATCGACCCTAAAGTTACTCAGTCGATACTTTATTTCCAGCTCGTTGTTTCATTCAAACATAAAAACCTTCACTGGAGCATCCCAGTCAGAGGCAGGTTCAGATAAATACTGAACTAAACAAGCAGGTCATATAATTATTTAATCTGCTCTGATTAAACAACAACTTCTAATTTGACGTGCTAACAGTAGCATCCATGCTAACTCTGTAAACAAACAAGCTGAATGAGAAGTCACATCTTTACTGCACATGCGTGTCACATCAGTGCTGTGTAGCGTTCACACAGGGGTCTGATGCAGGTCACATTTAAAATGTAATGTGAACGTTCACACAAAAAGATCGGATTTTTTTTAAAAATCAGAAGTGAGCATTAAGACCTGCAGTGTGAACGTAGCCTAAGGTTCAGGTAAGTGTTTTCCTCCTTGCCTTTCTTTTAAACCAAACTTTAAACTTTGAGCTAAACAGTAGATCTGCAATATAAAACATGACGTAAAGTTCTCCTTTTGTGTTTAGTTGGTGCTTATTTATTTTTTGGTCTGTTTATATATTTCTGCTATTAATTCTAATTATGCCAGTTTCGTTCCTCCATACAAAGTAGAGTTTAATGAAGAATTTACACCTGAGACTGATAAATGTCCAACCATCTGAGCCCGTCTGTCCTCACACTGCCGCCACAAATAATACTTTAGTCAGAAAGTCTGAGCAGAAAACTGCAGCTGAGAATAAAATGACATAATCTAATATTTAACGAAAAAATAACAAATTAAATGTGGAATGTAACTTAAAAAAAGTAGCAATAAGCATTTTTATTTTTATTTATCAACTTAAAGAACAAAAATAGTCTTCAGTTTTTACTTGTACTTGTAAAAACAAACAAAAAATAAAATAAAACCCCACACATATATAAATTGAAATGATTAGGTTGTGTGAAAACACTGATTGAATAAGCCACAGTATCTGTCGCACACTGAGCTCAGACTGTGCATGAACACAGTTCAGCTTGTGTGTCGCTGCGACTGTGCGTCTCCGGCTCGACTCTCCTGTCCCTCAGGATCATGGAGGTGGTGGATCCTGATTAGGGCGGTTGTCTGTAGGAACCTGACAGAACCAGAATGGAGATTTAAACACTGGGAAGAACACTGAAGCTGAAGTGTCACAAAGTGCTGTGCAGCAATATGTGTGTGTCTGTTAGCAAAACAACCAACGAGCCACTGGACAGGTTTTTTTAAAACTCAAAAAGTTATTGAATCAATAATAATATGAATAATAATTACAATAATCAATAATGATTTAACTGATGAAGTCAAACTGATTCAAAATTGCCATGAGCTAATCATCCTTAGCAAAAACAAAATGTGTAATCTAAGATGCAGTGGTGGGCACCAGCCCGCTACAGCGCAAATCCACTAATTGCKGACCTAAATATTTCATTTGCGCTTTAGCGGTCTTACTAATTTTTATAATTCATAAGCAGATTTTCACTTTCTAAAATTAAAACACAGTACCACTAATAATTAATTATCTACCAGTCATCATTATTTTGAACAGCAGAAGGTATGGCTGTCAATGAATCACAACACACGTGATCTATCCACCAACACCCCTCCCAGATAAACACACTTATTGTGAAGGTATACATCCTGCTGACTGTTGCTTTGGGTCACGGTTCTCATTTCCCACAATGCTTTGTGTCTGCTTACGTAGCAGGAAGGCAATGGTTAGAATTCCCTGTCCCAGCAAAAACAGTAAACGTTTGTAATCCACACTAAAATTTTGTATGTATTGATTTATTTTACTTTACAATCGGAGCTCCTTTTTTTAAAAGCATAAAGTTTAAACACTGGAGCTCAATACTTGATGTAATTGGTCGAAACAATCGGCCAACAGGGTTAGCTGAAGCCTGAAAGGATGCAAAAACGATTTAAAGCTGTGATGCTGATGAAGACAGACATCTAGTGGTCAACTGGAGCAACTACATGGAAAACTTTAAAACCCAAGCTCTTATTTTGAAGGGACGATAGTTTCCTGTACTCCATGCTTTCGTTTCCCATCACAAATTAAATCCGTCATGTACCCAGAATGCATCGCTTCAGTTTTCCAAAAAAAAGTTTTAAAATTACGTTATTGATGCTTCTTTAATGAAAAATCTACAACAAACAAAAGAAAAAGACAAAGAAGCAGCCGAACTAGCAATCCTCAACAACTTTTTAATTTTTACACCAGGAGCCAAAGGTTTGTTTAAGGAAATCACATCCCCAGCAATCAGCAGTTGTAGATTTAAGCTGTAAAAGAGTTCATACACCACTAGTTGGCAGTGTTGTACATATGTTGTACAAGAATTGTCAGCTAGTAAGTGCCAAATTGAACTTGTGCTTTAAAATTAGCTTCCGCTAATTTTCTATTGCATAAGCAGTTTTGAAGTTGCGGACCTAAATATTTACATAAGAGCTTTAGAAATTGCGGAGCTAATTATTGGATTAGCGCTGCCCACCACTGCTAATATCCAGATACTGCGGTAGTAGCTGTTAAACATCCTCTGAGAGCTAGCTGAAAACTCTTGACCATCATCATCTAGGTGAAAAAATGAATGCAACAATATTGTAACATTGCAGAAGCTTATCCAAACTGCCACAGCGAATGTGTGCCGCAATCAAAGCTAAAGGCGGTACATCGAAATATTACAGTGTGACCTTTTTTCGTTTTTGTGACTAAACAGAACTGATGATTTCTGGGAGTCAATCAGTCACAGCTAACAGACTGTAGCTCTTAGAGAACTGGCTGTAACTTCACTGAGAGTCGATGTGGTTGCAGCTGAAACTCATCACAACACAAACTACAAACTGAGCCACACCTAACATTACATCACACTAAACATGACTTTATAGTGTGACCATAACTCCATCATTCCTCAGTTGATGTCTCTGCGGTGATTAAAATGAGATCAACATGTAATTACAGACAGAAAAGTACAGGTGACCTCACCTGGTGTTCAGAGGAGTGATGAAGATGAACTGCCGAAGGTGCTGCCGCTCTGACAGCTCCAGGAGGAGATCCAAACAAATTCTGCGATTGTGCATGTCCTGCAGAGGAAACACAAAGTGATGTATGACACCACGTACTGTCCGGGTCGGTTCAGGGCGATTCTGACTCACCATGTAGACGTCGAACTCATCGAGGCATCTGAACGGTGATTCTGTGATTTCCCACAGCGACAGCATGAAGCAGACAGTGGAGAAGGAGCGTTCTCCTCCTGACAGAGATCTCATGTCACTCGCTCCATCCTTCTCCCTGCCTGGAGGCTTCACCTGCAGGAAACAGAAGGTTTGAATGTGCCCACACTTCCTGAGGCTCATCAGAAGCCTGGCAGTCAATTTGTTTCTAAGTAAAGCTTCTGCCTCTAAAGTCAAACATATTGCAATGTTTTTATATTTAGAAGGTTGTTAAGTATCCCTGGATTTGATGCAGCTTTAACTAAAATGGTGTTAGCCTCAGTGCCATTAGTTTCACTGAAGCAATTAGCCATGTCACTATGACCGTTTAAATACGATCACCAAAACATGAACCATGTGTCTTACGTCCCACTCAGACAGAATGTAGCAGTAATAAGTGAGAAAATAATCAGTGGGACTTTAAACATTGTGACCTGTGGAGCTGTTTGTGTACGTTCACTGAGGACAGCTTCTACGGAAGAGCATTGCATTCACCAAATAAAACAAAAATTAGGACTCCTGATCTCATAATTATGAGATCCTGATCTCTTATCTCATAATTATGAGATGTTTTCTCATAATTATAAGAAAAGATCTCATAAATACGAGATCTTATCTCATAATTATGAGGTAAGATCTTATAATTATGACATCTTATCTCATAATTATGAGATATTTTCTCGTAATTGTGAAATAATATCTCGTAATTATGAGATAGTATCTCGTAATTATGAGATAATATCTCGTAATTATAACATCTTAACTCGTAATTATGAGAGCTTATCTCGTAAGTATGAGATAAGATCTCATAATTATGACATCTTATCACACAATTATGAGATCCTGATCTCGTAATTATGGGATCTTATCTCGTAATTATGAGATATTTTCTCATAGATAATATCTCGTAATTATGACATCTTATCTCATAATTATGAGATAATATCTCGTAATTATGATATCTTATCTCAATTATGAGATCCTGATCTCGTAATTATGAGATCAGGAGTCAAAATTTTTTTATTAGGTGAATGCAATGCTCTTCCGTAAGCTTCTGACGTTTTCCAGTAAAAAAAAAATCAAACTGGGCGTGTTGCATTTAAAAAGTGTGTGAAGATCCTGCTGTACATAATGAGATAGCAATGTCATTTAAATGTCTTCCTGCTTTGTTCAGGTTGTACAGATGTAGAGATTAAGACCAGCATTAGTTAATCTACAGGACCTGCAGAAAAAAATACATTTTCACAAATAAAATTATAATTCATAAAGTTTATTTGTAGAAACCTGTTTCTCTGGGGGTCCAGCTGTAATCTTCTTTATAAATCAGTCTTTGGAGGGGTGGATGAATACATGCTAGTTTTTTTTTTACTTTTATTTGAAATATTTTTTTTTACAATTTGTATAATTTTCCTTTCACTTCACAATTATGCCTCACTTTGTGTTTCTCATAAAATCCCAGCAACATATTGTGCAGTTTGTGACTTATTCAAGGCAGTGCAGGTTCTGTGAACCAGTTTGTTTAAAATAAAGAGATAAACACACGTACCAGGATGGAAAGGGTCTCATTGTTGTGGTCAAATATCATGGAGCCGCAGCAGTTCATCTTTATCAGGAAGTTATTGAAGTATAACTTACATCTGACTGACAGGGACCTTCAGGAGGCGGAGCCAAGCAGAAAATCCCGTTAATACCAGGAACTCTCACTGATTTACGGTGCTTCTTCACAAAGTGCTGATGGTTTACCGCCGCAGTATTTTGTATCTGTTCTGTCTGTCTGACATGATGTTTTTGAGCCGATCGATGAACTTCTGCAGATCTCTGACTTGGTTGGTTTTGTCTTTGTAGAGGGAGAGGGCCTCAGCATACTCTCTGTTGAGGTCAGAGGTCAGAGCGTGGGTCAGTAAAAACAGCTGGGTGAAGACACAGGAAACATATCAGAGAAAATAAACTAAACTGAACTTAATCAGATTTTTCTTCATATTTTTGTTTTTGCTTTTCTGTCTCTCTTGTGTCCTCTGGTCTATTTGGTTTAAGTTTTGTTAATCTAATTTTTCATCTTTGCTTCATTTTACTGTTTCTGACAGAGAAACTGGTCGGCCCTCTGGATCCTAAAGCAGCTCTGGTGGAGAATCAGTGAGAAACAGGGTTATGTGTCTTATGTTTTTAAATGTTGACTCCTCTCATCTTCTGTCCTACTTTGTGGCTTCTTTGATTTTCTGTCCTGTTCTGAACATTTGCTTCTCATCTTCCTGTGTTCAGTTCGGTTTCTGTTTGTTTGGTCAGCTGTCTGTGTGCCTTCATTTCCTGAGACATTTTCCTCAGATCTCTGTGCATCTCTTTTCCACTTCATCTGCATTTTAGGCGTTTTTTATTTAGACACTAAGCTTTTCCAAATTAGGACGTTTTCATTCATTTAGATAAAAAATTTAATGAACTACAGTTACAGTAGATGTCAAGAATCTAAAAAATGTTCCCAACATGTTATCACAACATGGATTATCAGTAAAATGCAATCTTAACTAAAAATACAGCATTCTTTTTAAGATGATTTAACTATTTTAAGGTTCACACATTATATACAGTATATATATAATCTTGTCACATACAGTACATGATCAGATTTTGTTCTCTTCACAAGGGACCAGAGTCCTGCGACTCAGCAGCAGCCTGAGTGACAGCAACATGTCAGAGCAGCTGTGTTTTCGTTCACGCCTCTTTTAAAGGGGCAATTTCATGTAAAATCAACTTTTTGAGTTTTATATCATGTTATAATGTTATACTCTCATAAAAAACATGACCAAAGCCTTGCTCTGACTCATTCATGCATGTTTGAGAAATCCTGCAGTGTTTTTATGAAGCCATGCTGAGGAGCAAAACGACAGGTGGGGACCAGAAACACCTTTTGGGACGTGTCTTTAAGATGACCTTCCTCATGGCAGAGCGCACCCCCTCCCCACACACCCCGTCCATGACTCCTGCAGGCTCTCAGGTCAAAATGAAAGTGAAACCTAACTGTCTGCTGCTCTCCACACTATTTCTCACTCAGTGAAGCTCTTTTCAGATTAAAAATACCTTTGAGGAAATGTATTTTCAGATGCCAAATAAAATGCATCATAGCGTGCGCGCGCACGAACCCCCCGCGTGCGACCCCCCACCCACCGAACGGGACGGAACAGAACCAGCAGGAGGTTCTTAATAGAGGTGGGCGATACTGGGAATTTTGGTATCGATCCGATACCAAGTAAATACACGGCCAGTATCGCCGATATCGATACCGATACTTTTAAAGCTTAATAATTTGAAAAGATCCAAAAGATCTAGGATAGAATTTCACCAAACAAAATACTTTATTATAACAATCAATATTTTTGTTTGCCAACAATAGAGATGTAACAAACCAGTTTCCTTTAACATTAGGAAAATAAATCTTTTATACAAAAATAAAACAAAAATTTTTCCCTCACCACTGGACATCTTTCCTAGTTATTTCTTTGTTTATTTTATTAAATAAAATTGTTCTTAGGAAAAGTGAAAAATAAGGAATTTTCTTCCTTTCAATACAATTCTGTTTTATGTAAATAAACAGACTAAAAAGTATCACTCAACGCAACTTAAAACAAAATCTCCTGAGGTAGAGGGCTCGGTGAGAACGCTGAGTGGGTGGGCCAGCCTACCTGCTTAGTTAGCTTAGCTGTTTGGCTAGCGCTAGCTGTTTGGCTAGCACTGCTGAGCCACGTGACGATGCAACAACAAAATACGGGGGGGGGGGGGGCTGCTCTGTGCTGTGTGTGACACAGTGCAGCACTACAGACAATACCAGCGCTGGTATCGATAATAATCTATATTTAGTAGCGATCCGCCCACCTCTAGTTCTTAAAGAGACAGAGGCAAATTTCAAGGCGTTTAGAAGAGGAAATAATGAGAAGATAAGTTTATTTTCTATTTAAACATAAAAACAGTGTTTTAATAACAACTAAAGGTGACATAGATACTTTATTATGGTATAGTATTTAAATGTAAGTCTGAGAAACACATAATATTGGCCCTTTAATCCTGCACTGATGATGTTCTCTGAAAGTGTGTTTTAGCACAAGAGAGCGACTCCGTCAGTGACTTCTGAACTGCCAGAGGAGCGTCAACATGGAACGGCCTGTTCTGTTGTCTGAAAGAGCCTGTTGAGACTCAGTCGTGTTTGGAAGGAGGGTGGGGGGGTGGGGGGGAATG